GGGTGATGGAAGGAGAATATATTGTTGCTAAATATCATTTGTATATACAGTATAGTAAGTGACTGTTGTTCACAATTTAAATATATGAAGGACTTCTGTTGCTAGTATTATGAAAATATAGATAAAATTGTGGGAAAAAACTGGCTCCAACACTTGGAAATAATGGATAAGACACAAACATCTCCTTTACTTTTTATTTTTATTAATTTTTAATTTTTTAATGTTTATTTTTGAGAGAGAGAGAAAGAGAGAGCATGTGCAGGGGAGGGGCAGAGAGAGAGAGAATCTGAAGCAGGCGCCAGAATCAGCACAGAGCCTGACACCAGGCTCGAACTCACGGGCCCATGAAATCATGACCTAAGCAGAAGTCAGACGCTTAACTGACTGAGCCACACAGGTGTCCCTCAAACATCTTTAAATACAAAACTGAGCTCAGGACCAAAGGAAACCCACAAAAACCAAAACCTAAGAGAGAAGACCCAAGAGTTTTCCTCTCTTATCTTTCTTCTATGTGGCATACAACTTCCTGGATTTCTCCCAGGGAATGCTAACTCTCTATTATGAAGAACACTTCAGTTTACCCAGTTCTTACCATCATAATTCCATATAGACTTTTCTCAGGAAGAAGAGTTAGCTCTCTACTAAAGATCTCACTCTCTTCAGAGGTATTTTTGTGACTTGTGCTGGATTGACATCTTGCCATCTACTTAACACTATCCCAAACTGTGGTTTCAAAGTATTTCTCCAAAAAAATGCAGTGGTCAGCCCAAGAAGAAATCTGTTACATGGAATTTTCTCATTCAATTGCCAAAATTGGAATAAGATCCTGTGAATAGGCAAAGAATAGTTTCCTGTGAGGTGAAACAGATATGCCATGATCCCTCTCTTCCATGAAAATAGGGAGGACTTTCAGAGAGACAGCAAGTTGAGAGCAGAGCCCAAAGCTCTCCTTTGCATGTGTTCTAAAAGCTTTTCTCTACGCCTTCCAGATACTCATGAAAAGTGCCACTGATGATGACTTTGTAGACTGAAGTCTACCAATGAGCAATCCAAAGCAGGAATCAGTCAGTTTGAATGTAGAATGAGGGATCATGAAAAGGAAGTTTTAAGAACATATTAATAACATAGAATGCTATTAGTGTCAAGAGGGGCTTTTCTGGAGCCCACATGAAGCATGAAATTCCTTAAGCATCCAATGGGGAATTTAGAAAAATCAAAGGCTTTGTTAAAATATTTAAGGTCTCTGATACAGAGCTTACTTCATTCTGACTCATCTTTTAGATCTGAGCTCAAATATCACTTCCTCATAGAAGGGTTTCCTGACACCACCACAAATCTCTGTCAGATCCCTCTGGTATTAAGTCTGGCTACCCCTAAATTTGTTCCTAGTGTCACTGTGACCATTATAATTCCATAATCAATTAGTTGTGCAATTCATCTCTTCTTTAAATTCAAGTTCCTTGAAGGGGTACACCTGAGTCACTACTCTATCTCCAGTGCCTAGAACTTGCCAGGCATGGAATTGGTTTTGCTAATTAAAGAAGCTATAAAATTACTGCAATGATATGGTTATTGTTATTATAATATCTGTTTACAATGCACCTTTGAGCATTTTTTCAAACTTTTAAAAACTGCCATCCCCTGAGAAACACATTATACGTCCTGACATACACACATACATACATACACACAAAATTAAACAAACAAAAATGTTGCTACAAACAATATTGACAATCATCATGTTCAATTCATTCCAAAAGTTTCTAACCTCTTCTGTTCTAGTCTTTGAGAGTGCTATTCATGACCACCTAAATTGATTTCATAACCTACTTATGAATTGTAACCTACAGTTAGGAAAAAACCCAGCCCAGGGCACTTCATAATCATAAGATGCGATTGAATATTAAATGTGCTTAAACTTTGCCTTCATTCATCTGTCTCTATATGTTTCATAGGATTTAGATAAAATATGCTTTGCAGCTGCAGTAACATATTTGTCAAGAGCTCCAAAATTCCTTAAATTAACATTCAGTTGGCAGTGCCCTGTTGTGGGTCCTTACAGGCAGAGGGCATTATAGGAAGATGGCCAAATATGCCAAAGTCCACTGTGTCTTAAGGTAATGACTTAGTTGCAAAAAGAGTAATTTACCTAACATTCTGATTGCACATTTATAATTAGATTTGTATTTCTTGCCCGGTTTTACTACATCAAACTAACATATGCTGTGCTACAGATGGAAGTCCCAGGTTATTCAGCATCAGGAACCCTGGGGTCTTGTGGTTCCAAATTAAACTTGGGTGTGTGCATAAAACATGCAAATTAGGCTTTGGTCACACGCTCAACACTGTTGAAAAGAAATTAGCCAACAGGTCTAGAAACAAAATGCATTGAAAGCTGCCTCCTCTTGCTGGAAAAGTTTTTATTAGGCTTGGTGATCAAGAAGGTTTGAAAGTAAACACTTAACTCAAATTACCATGACTAGATGCACATGTGTTCTTGACCACCAAACAGGCTGGCAGGCAAGGCATGGTTTTACAATGCTCATCCACGTGTACTGCAAGCAAGTAAACTTTGTGAACTGACCAGAATTTCTGTGCGCTCAGTATTTGGAAAATGTTTTCACATGTGGATGACTGGAGTTGTATTCTTCAGTGGGTGATGCTGTATCTGTTGGGGGAAGACTGTGTTCTTCTCCCTCTTGTCTGGGTGACACATCAGTTGCCTACGGCCTCTCCACCCTGAAGTTATCCCAAGCCTGAGCTCATGTGAAAGAGTTAATGCCTTCATAGCTTGAAACTGGTTGTAGGGAAATCAGGATAACCCTACCACACAGGGTGAGGGGATGTGTGCTCTGTGGTCAACTGGCTTCACTTTCCTCTTCCCAAGGATGTCATGCCTTCAATTTGTAAGAGTAAACTTTGTATTGAAAAGCAAATTTGTAATTAGACTTCGTAGAACAAAGTGAAGAAATCCTAAGTACAGCTCAATTCATTTTACAAAGTGATCATATCCATATTAACGAACACTCGTATCAAGAAACAAAACATTTCTGGTTATACTAGAAGCACAATCCATTCCAATTATTAACTGTTCCCCATGGGTAACTTCTCCCTCCATCTAAAAGTCATAGGATAGATGACTTTTTCTTGTTTTTGAATATTATATAAATGGACTCTTGTAGAATGTACTTCTTTAAATCTGGATCCTGACATTCCACTTCATGTTTATGAGATTAATCCGCGTGGTTGTACTTGCTTGTTCATTCTTACAGCTGTGTGGCACTTCAGTGGATGAACATAAAACAGTTTTTATAGCCATTCTACAATTGATGGACATTTTCATTATTTCCAGTTTGTGGTGATTCTAAATAATACTACTATGAACATCCTTGCACATGTCACTTGGTAAATCTATGTACGAATTTCCATTGCTATATCTCATAGCAGTAGAATTGTGGGAACACAGGACATGGGGATATTCAGCTTTAATTGAAATCTGAACAATTCTCCAAAATGATTATGCATTCCTACCAGCAGAGTGTGCAATGTCCAACTGCTCTGTATTCTCATATGGTCCATCTTTTTAATGTGAGCCTTCCGGTGGGTATTTTTAATTGGAAGAGCATGCACTTTGAAATTAGAGAAATATGACTTTTATTCTTGCCCTGTCAAGTTCTAGCAGTTTATGTGGTCTCAAGCAAGTCACATTTCCTCTCTCAATCATGTTTCTCATCTGGAACATGGCACTAAAAATACTTATCACATAGGAGAGCTGCACATTATAAATGAAATAATATGTACAAATAATAACTATTGTTTAAGCATCTACCATATGCCACTGTGTTAGGTATTTACCTATACCAATGAGCTTAAGAACACCATTAATAATAGCTATATTCCCCACCATCATCTGGCCTTCTATAGAGACTGACTTAGTTTTGCCATTGTGCGCAGAAGATCAGACTGCTCTAACTCCCAAAACAAAGGAGGTGGAATCTAGTACTTTATAGTCATCCAAAAGGTGTGTCAGGATGTCGCTGAGGCAGATGTGATATGATTATTTCTGTCTGCTATTTTGGGGCTCAAATTCCCAACATTATACCACAGGGTCATGATGGAAATGGTTTAGTGTAGACCAAGAAATTAACAGGTAAAGACATAAACTCTTATTTTTTACCAAATTAAGAACAAAAATGACTGGGGACATCATATGTGCTTTCTAAATGTTTTTACTAGAGACTCTATATATGAATGTATTCATTTTTCAAAACTTTGCTATGTCTTTTTTTTGTGTGTGTGTGTGCAAGAGGTGTCATGTTGCCTTAAGAATTGAAAAGTAAAGGTGTTTATTGTCTGTCTCCCTACCCAATTTATGGAAGTTAAAATAGCCTTCAGTTTTAGAAGAATATGCCCATGATTTTCAGAAGACATGAAGAAACTTTTAGGTTGGCAGATCTCTTTCAACAATTGGTATCAATCTAACAGCTCTTCAATTGCCAGGGCTCTGTCTACACAATAGGAAATTAAATATCTAAGCAGAAAATAAAACATCACAGAGAACTGTTAGTTGCCAACTGGAAGTGTTCCACATGTTCTCCCTCTGTTACTGCTGCATTATTTGGGTGAGGAGGGAGATGGTGATTTCTCACTGTCCTTTAGGTACCCCCTCCCATCTGGGTTCACAAACATAAGCCTCTTGGTTCTTACTGAACTGTGTTCTGTGTTCTCACTTGTCTTTAGGTTTAACAAATAATCATAGTGTTCGTCCAATATGAGGCTGTTTAAAAACCATGGAAGAATGATTCCTAAGTTAATAAACCTAAAACACATTTGCCCGACATAGTTCCTTTAATTTTTAAAGGCTTGTATAATTTAAGGGAATTTAAATCCATGTGTTTTTTATTCACTTGCAGTGACATCATCAAAATAGTCCTTTAAACAGCTGGTTTAGCCTTTTTTAATAAAGTTCTCTTATGACTTGTTTCTTTTTGAAAACAAGATTTTTTTTTTGCCAAAGGCAAATGAACTTAAATGCCAAAAGATCTGTATTTCAGTCAAAACTCCAAACCTGTATATTGTTAGGTTGAAAATTTTGCAAACTGGCTCCTGAGTCTCCACTGAAATTAGCTGCAAAGAAGGAAAAAGTGTCATCTGAATGAAGTTCATGGTCAAACCTGGTATCAGAAGACTAAAGAAACATCTATATTTGCTGCTTAATTTTGTGCCAAATCTGAAATGAATCAATGTACAATGTGTATTGGATTATTACAGAAATGTGATCCACTGCCAAGCAGTTAACTTTTCCACCATCTCTGGTTATCACGAGTAAACCACAATGCTGTACTCTCCAGAGGTTAGAAACCCAGCACACGGCGGCTGTCTGAGATTTGTGAGATGTGATTGTTTTAACAGAGTCATTCTGGAGAAAAATCTTTCACTAAACATTGTAGATGCTCATGATAGATGTGTGTGCATGTGTGTAGGAAATATATATATATACATGTGTGTATAGAGAAAAATATATATGCATGTATAGGAAGTATATACACATACATTGCTCTCTATATATACATATGTATATATATAAATTTTTCTTTTTTTTAATAAAAATACTCTCCTCTAAAGACATGTTTAATGATTTAGCAAGTCTGAGCATAAAACATGTAAAGGAGTTCAACCTTTATAAATATATCCACATGCTGCAGTCAAAACAAAACTCTCAAAGCATTTTGGTATTAGCAATCCGAGACTGCTTTTCTCTTTGTCAAAATGTATATAGCTAAGCAGTAATCAGAGAGATGTATGACTGGGAGTAGTTGAATTTTACAGGAATCTGTGAAGCAAATGGGCATTTTGCTCCCCCACCCCCCAGGCCTCCAGCACAACTTCAGAATCCAATGCTCCATTTGAGAAACAAATTTGTCTGCCATCATGAAACTCCTCAAAGGCTAATTCCCCTAGAATAGGAGAATTAAAAGTGAGAAAGAAAGAACAAGAAAGGGACAAGTTCTTGGATTCTATTTTACAATTGAGATTTTTTAAAAGAGGAACTTTACATATACACACTCACATTGAAGGTGCATAAATATTAATAGAGCCAGGTTTCTGATAAAAATAGAAACTAGAATCTTTATCACTGTATTACTGCTAACAGATTTGATTATATCATTCTTTTTTAAGGAGAGCTCTGCAGTTTCCTACAGGGTGGAAGTTGTTTGCTGTCAAAAGCTCTGGAATCTTCAAACCCAGTTTTCAAAATCCAGTCTATATGATATTAAAAGAATATTCATGAGTTTATAAAATTGTCTTCTTTAAGAAACTTTAATTAGCAAAAATTCATTTTTACAAATGAGATGATGATTCCTGTGTACTTACTCTTGTCCAAGATTTGTCATGAGATACTTCATTGAAATTTCAAAACCTTGACAATGAGAAGACCATTGTTTCCAACTGATAAATATAGAATCTTTGACATATAGAGCTATAGCAGAATGAATGAATTTCATTATGAATATATAGTCACAGAATTTTTAGTGGATTCACTGCAGGGTCCATTTAAATATGAACTTCCTTTGTGCTTTGGATAACTGGATGTGGATGAAGGTTGGATACAAAGTTCAGAATTAAAGCAGGAGAGAAATCTAAAGGAGGTACCACCCTTTGAAGATCAAACTGAAATTAAAGAGTTGCCAGTGACAAGTAGGATTTGATTTAAAGACATTTGATTTGTGTCTTTCAAATAACTCTTTGACTATATAACATGAAGTACATCACCATTTGCATTATTAAGCAATAGAAGTTTTCAGAAGTGTTTTATATATTGACTTTTCAGCCTAATCCAAAGAATGCTGTTTCATATTGGCAGTAAAACTGCTAGATTCCATGACTTAGCTATGTGACCTTGGCAAGTTACAAACTTTCTGTATTGCAATTTCCTCATTTATAAAATGACAGTGATGATATATAGACATATTGTACAAAAATGAATGTACGGAAATATCTGAAAGTCTTTTGACTTCATTATAAGCTGCAAAGATATCGCTGTGTTCAATTATAGTTACACAACAAAGTATCATCTCATCCTCTCTATCTCTCTTTTCTCTTTCCCCCCTCTCTTTCTCCCCTTATCCTCTCAAAAATACATTCTCTCCTAGAATCACAGGGAGTCAGAACTGAAAAAAGCCATAGAGATCATGCAGTTCTATCAAAGAGAAAATAAAGTTCCAAAAAAATTAAATAATTTATCCAAAGTCACAAAGCTACAAAAATAATTAATGGCATAAGCAGGTTTAGGTCCCAAGTCACTCGAACTCCTAATCCTCACCTCCTAGGAAGGCACTGTAGCTGGGTAATTAAGAACATAAGATTTGATAACAGACAAATGGTTCAACCTCTGCAGTTCTACCATTGACCAATTCTCTGCATCTGTAAAATGGGATTAAAAACAATATAACAAACACCTGGGATTGCTGCATTTGCAGAATGTATGGAATTTACTAGCACTGGATGAACATTATGGATTATGAACATCCATATTTTCTCACTGCATTTCATTGTTTCTCTGGAGATAGTTAGGCTGCATTCCTTCACCTCCATTTTTCTGAAATGGACTCAAGAGTCAGGAATTGCCTTCTCAATAGCCCAGAAGACTCTACAACAGAGTATTAACAGCCAACTTGAGTTCTTGCTACACAATACTTTGAGATAGGTAGTAGCATGGAAACTCCATTACAGATGAGAAAACTAAGGCACAGAAAAGGAACTTCTTCAAGAGCACATGGCTACTAAGTGGCTCCAGAGCCCACATTTTGTATCATTGTGATACACTGAAGCTAAAGCAGGGGAAGTCATGCAGCATCAATCACTGAGTCCAAGTGATCAGGGATAGGAAGTCCAGAAATGTGCCTTCTTTTCCATTCTCTATGAACCTCTATAGAGAACTGCCTTCTAGAGAATTATGTGTACATAACTCTCAGTCTGCAAAGGAAATGGGCTCCACAATTTTGACATGGCAGAATCACCATTGACCTGGAGACCTAAAATCTCCCAAGAAATGAAAACAAATGGGATGCCACAAACAAGTCCTCATGGGTGCTTGTCCAAGCCCAGACATTTGGGGATAATCCTGCTGGGGGTAATCCTGCAAATCATACAATCAGAGATGCTGCAGCTCAAGGTTAAAGTGGTCAGTTGCCAGGGGAAACATGCCCACTGACGTCATCATTCTTAGAAGTTGTATTCATCCCTCATTTCTGGAAGCATTAGATTCATCTGCACGTTGGTGTTAAAAAGCTAATTTAAAAATGGAGTCGGATGTTTAATTATTGTTTGATTTGGGGTTGCAGCCTTTCATTTTTCAAACATCTTAAGAGCAGAGAATGAAAATTGTTACCTAAGAAACTATTGAAATTCTCTTAACTCTTCTGGGTATGTATTATGTATTCCATGAGTTCTCTGCCAGGGATATAAGTCAGAAACTCTCCTGCTGGTTTTGATTACAGCTGCAAAGTCACAGATTTGAACAGCTCTAGACAATCATTCTTCTGAACGTGCACATAAATATAAAACATTTTCTTTATCCTTATCACATAAACCTTCAACGAGGTTTGCTTCAAAGTAAATTCCAGTTTTCTTTCATTTTGTCCTCATTTATCATTTTAATAATTAGCAAACTGCATTTTACTTTTTTGCAGAAAGCTACTCTATTTGCATATTCAAAGGTCATTGTGCTGGTTCAGGCTATTTAATATCAAAGCAATGACAATTTAACAATCTCTTCTTCTGGATTCAGATAAAATACAAAATTACCTCTGGCTTTTTAATTTTGTACATTTAGAGACACATGATAAAAATATGAGATTAAGATAATAGAATGAGTAGTATAATGAACCATCAGTTAAGCTATGGTAAACTTTCTTCATATCTTGCTTCGGGTCTTTACATTGTCACTTTATTATTTAAAATGGAGCCATCACATTTCAGTAAGTGATATCAAGAACATAATTTGCTAAGACACCTCTTTATTTGAGGCGCTGTCAGGACTGGCAATGAGAAATGACACAATCCCTCAGTTATAAGCGACAGGCGCCACTATATTAGTCCACACTTGTGTATTTCTCTGCTGTTTTTGAAAAATTACATTTCCTTTGTGTAAGCAGAACAAAAAGAAATAGAAATCGGTTCCATGTGAATTCTGTGGTCCTCTATATTAAACTGTAATTGTTTCCTGGTAAAAAACCAAGCCTGCAGGATTTCCTGAAAAATAATTTACAAGGATGGGTACTGGGTCCAGCTTGCTTTTTTCCTTGTGCTTCTGTGATTGATGACACTGCAAGCAGCTGATAGATTTGCTGCTGCTGCATCTCCAGAAAGTTCTTTTGCTTTAAACAAATTGCAATCTCCTCCCATTCCCCTCCCCCCCCCCAAAAAAAAATCTTTACATGGCATTCACTTTCTTGGCTTGTTGATTCTTCATTGCTTTTCAACTTCGGCACTGCTCTGAGCAGCCCAGTTAATGGGCCCAGTTGCATCAATAGAACTATGAAGCCAGTTTGGATGAATTATTTAAGGTAATGGCTGGGTAGAAATTTGTAATTCAACCTAGTTAGCTCAATATTAGCTATGATCTTCAGAAAGGTAATATGGAAAGAATGCTGGCTTAGGGGTCCTACAAACCTGAGTTCAGGTCCTCCCTCTACTACTGCATAATGTGTACATGCCACTTAAACTATATGAGCTACAATTTTCTCTTATGCAAAACTGGGGAATGATGAAGCCTATTTTCAGAAGAGGAAGCAATGAGCTGCTTGTGAGGCCACAGTGAGTTAAAGGTTAGAAAAAACTCTGTAAATCATAGATGGTTTTACAAATAATAAAGCCCTAAAAATGGCACATCAGGGCCTCAGGCCCCATTCTTTAAGAATCCCCATATTATTTTAATAACAAATACCAAGGAAGAAAAGCTAACTATCTTTAGGCCTTACAGTATGCCAGGCGCTATGCCAGGCCCATAATACACACTCTGATTTATACCTAAAAAATTCTTGTAAGAATATGTCATTCTTCTCTTTTATAATAATTATGTCTAATAACTATTAATTGCATGATATATACCATACACTGTGCTAAGTAATTTACACACAAAATTTCATATAATCCTTAAAATAATCCGAGGGAGAAAGTATAGTGTTATCCCTACTGAGGAAGTGCAGGCTCAGGAGAAATTAACTTGCCCAAAGCCATATAGCTGGTAGGTGGGACTCATTAAACCACTTCCCATCAAAAACATCAGCCTTATCTCGACTTACACACTCTGTTTTTGACCTTTTGACCTCTTTGAGGCTCGCATACATTTTTTAAAAATTTTTTTAATGTTTTATTTATTTCTAGGAGAGAGAGAGAGAGAGACAGCGTGAGCAGGGCAGGGTCAGAGAGAGAGGGAGTCACAGACTGAAACAGGCTCCAGGCTCTGAGCTGGCAGTCAGCACAGAGCCCGACGCGGGGCTTGAACCCACGAATCGCGAGATGATGACCTAAGCGAAAGTCGGACGCTTAACCGACTAAGCCACCCAGGAGCCCCGAGCCTCGCATACATTTTAATCTGACTTTATTTGTAAAAGTGTGCAGTGGGACTGTGGGTTGAGTCGTGTGACATGTTCTGGGGTCCTCAGATCTTCTGTCACACCTCCATGTTACTGTGGCCTCGCGGACTCTGCAGGATCAGGCAAAGCCCGCAGGCCTACAGGTTTCCTCTCTTATGTGCCTTGGTGTGCTTCTAGGCAAGGATTGGCAGCACAAAAGAAATAAAGATCCAAATACACTATGTCATATGAAATGAGGTTAGAATAATGACATCAGCTTCCTAATAAACTCCACTTGCTATGGTCTGGCTGTATATCCAGCATGGATAGTCCTATGGTCATTTGTTATTGAAAATAACATGCTTTAGAAGGCAATACCAATTAAGTTCCATAAAAGTCCCTTCTATTCATTTCTAATATTTGAGTCCCTGGCACAAATAATGGAGTTTGGAGATGCTGCATCATAAGAAAAATCATAATCCATCAAACCTGCTTGTGTTGAGGCAGATGGGTTGGTGAAATGTTTGAGTGGCAAATTCTCTACCATTTTAAAGGAGATTGAGGAGCAGAGCAGAGCACCAGATGGGAACCTGAGGGCCTGAGGGGCCTGCCAAAAATCAGACCAAGTTAACATTCACACCTAGAAATTAAATCAACTGAAATATCTTATAACCAACAATGTTTGCTGCTGTTACATATGGGGAATCTTTATTACCCCCACAGTCCTAGATGGTTCCTTCATGGATCCTAAGCTTTGCCATCTGCCATGTGTACAGTGTGGTGAACAAAGAAGGAAGCGGGATGAGGCACATCCTGTTGGTACCCACTGGTACTTCCAATGAGGTGATTACTTGTATTAGTTCTTTCATCCTTGTCCTGAGAATTAAAATGATATAATATGTGCCAAACACACAAAGCAGGACTGTGTATGGCACACAGTAGGCAGTCAAGACCTGCAGGTTCTTGTTGGTGCTGTCATTGTTTTCATCCTACTTTCCTCTTTTCTTTCTAGACATTCTTCACCAACTCAAGCCATGTCCTACCCATTTGTCTACCATTTTGGAGACAAAAAGAGAAGACATAAGTAAGAGGAAGAAATAAAGAAATAACTTAGAAACAGGAAAGCAGATATGGTTCCTCCAAGATGTGATGAATCTCTCTGATTCTCTCACCTTAAATAGTTTCGAGAGAGTTTATGAGCTCAAGGAGAATGCTTTACCTCAGTGTGCTTATCTACAAAATGGGAGGGTGGGTGATATGAATGCGTTGGCTCCTCCAGGGAAGACAGGTTTGACAAGCTCTCAGATAATTTAACATCGATATATGGCCAAGGAGCAAAGAGCCCAGATTTCTGCTGAATTCCTAAATGCCAGTGGGAGGCATCATGCACATGCATGGATCTAATTCACTACACTTCCTTCTTTGCCAGAAATAGATGCAAAACTTGCCTTAAACATAGCTGTTTTTACTGGGTATTGTCTGCTGTGAATAAGGAAGTTTTTAAGAGTCTTGTGAGGACAAAGAAATGTGTGATATGTTCATCTTAACTTCCCAATATGAGGAGACACAGAGTATAATATAGGCATTTCTCTCTCTCTCTCCCTCTCTCTCTCTATATATATATACATATACGTATATGTATACAGTATATACCTATATATATACATACACATGTACACCTATGTTGTACACATATTTAGACACACACAGAGACTATTACACTTAAAATATTTTTGTTCATGACACACTCTTAATGTTGACTTGTACAAGGCCTTCTTTTCTTTGTTTAAGTAATACATTAAACTACTAAAAAAAAAAAAATACCCTTCCCCTCATGGAAACTAGAACATTGACAGTTGCTTACATATACTTCACTGATATTATCTCAAGCCCTTTCTATACCCCCCTGAAAAATAACCATATCCTAGGTTATGTGTCCATCATAAACTTGCTTTCCATTTATATCATTTTATCATGTCTAAAAATTATATTCTCATTTTAGTCATTTTTAACTTTAAAAATGTTGTATGTAATATCCTGGGACTTACTGTTTTTATCTAAAATCATTGCTACAACTGATCCATTTGGTTTTATGTAGCTATATTTCAATGTTTTTGTTGCTTACATTGTATTCCATTGCATAAATACACCACATTTTATTTATCCATTCTTTTGTCAATAGGAATTTGAATTATTTCCACATCTTGCAATCTGTCTGGCCTGAAATGTATATTAATAAGTAACAATTCAATGAACACCCAGTGCTGTTCTTTAAACACTTTACCATTTGGACACAGTCATGAAACCAATGAAAGGGGAAGGAGTAAGGGTTGAGTGCATTTTAAAGGAAGGATTGCTTTTTGGGGGTGGGGGAGTTCCCTTTAGTAAGTGCTGATGCTTGCCTATTTGCTCCAATGGATGCATTTTCATGAGGATTTAATTTACCATCCCCCGAGCTAACCATTTCCAATTAATAATAGCTTTACTACTTTCAGCAGGTTGCTGTGCTTCAATTTTTCTCTATGAAAATAACCAGGCTGATTTTAAAACTCTGTAAGATTCCTCTCACCCACTAAGATCTTAGGGCCTGAAGGAGAGAGAGCCCCATCTACAGTAGGAAAACTTAATATTTGTTGTGGAATTAGGAAGCACTTAATAATCTATATTTTACATGCATACACTTATTATTTTCAATTTGGAGTTAAAGAAACTGAGGCAAAGATAAATAAAAAAAGCAAAAAGTGCACACACCTAAGGTTTTACAAAGCTAGCTTGTGTGAGTCATGGAATGAAGATAGAAAGAAATCCATACAGCCTAACGCAAAATCCCATTCTCTTGGACGAGCACTCTGGATCTCAACCAGCTGAGCCATCTTCCGAATTCCCTGAAGTTCTAAGAGTGATCATTGTTAAATTAAATCACACCACTTTCATCTTTAGCTGGAAGACCTTCCTCCCACAAAATGAGGAATTAAATTGACACATTTTTTGGAATAGAGGTTTTTTCATCAGTACCTGGTTAAAAAAATAAATCATGCATGCATTTTTTGGTTTGTTATCAAGATTATTCACTCATAAGTGAACAGAGCAAAATTAAAGTTGATAAGACTGACGATGTGACAATGATTGCTGATGAAAAATTTTTGTTTCACCCGTGTTGCAAACTGTGCTATGATAGCATATTCTTACGACATTGTATATACTTACTTCTTAGACATTTCTCCATACTATGACTGCAGCCCATGGAAAATTGAATTTGGAATGTAGAAATTAGCACAATATTTGAGTATTTTTGTCAACATGCAAAGTTGCAGTATTTTCAGTTTATTAAATATTATCAGTGTATGAAAGCTTCAGTTCATTAGGAAGCTGAAAGAATACAGTGTTGCCAACTTATAATCATCAGCCAGTGAACATTCATCTTGTGTTGTGTGCAGAATACTGAATGAGGCAGTTGGGGCATGATAAAAGAAGTAGAAAACTCTGCATCAAATGATTTTATAATTTAATTGAGAAAATTATCTAAACTTAAGAGCAGCTTATTAAATATCAAATACAAATTTAAATGGTATGAATTAAATTGGTATATACTTACAGAACACAGAGTAAAAGAGGATTTACAGATTCATCAGAGATAAGGTTTAAGGAAATTACATGAGTTCTTACTCCTTTCGCATTACTACTGTGTGCAAGCCTCCGTGCTTGCACTGCACAAGCTGTATCTCACTCCATTTAGCTGTTATTTCTCTTTAGTGTCCTGTTGTACATCAGTTCTTGGGTGTGTCCTGGTCTTTCATGGTTTTGACACTTTTCAAAACTACTCACCTGTTATTTTGTAGATTGTCTCCTGATTTGCATTTGTTCAGGATTTCCCCATACCTGGAATGAAGTAAATTTTTGGCTAGCATAGCCCAACTATCACAACAATGATGTTTCTCTCCTTAGTGTATCATATCTTGGGGTTCACGATATCAGCATATCTTATTACCGGTGTCTGTAGGTTTACCCGCTATAAAATTACTATTTTTTCCTTTGTAGTTTATAAGTATTTAGGGCAGGGAAGATTCCTTGAAATTATGCAAATCCTATTTTTTCCTCAAATAATTGCCCCCCTAATTTTAGTATCCATTGGTGGATCTTGTCTGCACATTACCAGTGGAGTGTCTGCCTAATAATGGTTCTCTACATGGTTCTCCCTGTTCTTCTACATTTGTTGATTGGAATTCTATTGTGAGGAAGAGCTGTCTCTTCTCCTTTACATATATACATATGCATATACATATATATATATATATATGTGCATGGATTATGGATATCTATTTATTCCATGGGTTAAATCCAATATTATTATTAATTTTGTTGCTTGTATTATTCCATGTCTGGCCACTGGGAACTCTCTCAGATTGGATCCTGTCATTTCCTTGCTTTCTGGCATAACATACTAGTCCAGGTTCATCTTGTATATTTCTTGCCCTAGATCTGGAATCAAATACTTCTTCAAGAAGATATTATTCCTTCTACTGAAGAACACTGATTAGATGCCAAGATTTAGGTGCTATGTATGCTCAGATTAGTTTTTTATTACCATCTTCAGACTTCTCATTAATGAGAACTAATCTTGGTGAGGTGGGATAAAACGAACCACCAGCCTTTAAAGTATTTTACATGCCACACTAAAGAGTTGGGATCTGATATCATTGATATCAGAGAGAAATTTTGTAAAACTAATCAGGGGTATAGGTGATGGAATTGTGTTACAAGATAATTTTCATACTTGGATGCAGGATACAACAGATGAATGGACAAAAGCCTGGATGATTAAGAATAAATACCTAGGTAAGGTTATCTATGCACTGAGTGAGGGAGGCCCATTCTTAGAAGTGTAGAAGGAAGAAAGAAAAGGAAGAAGTAGAAACATTAGAGAAAAATAATTGGCTAGAGATCGTGACAGACACAACAGAGGATTGAGGGAAGTGTAAAATTATTCTGTTTGGTATTTCAAAGAACTAAATATATAGAGGTGTCACTGGTAATATCAGGAATGATTGATTCTGTGTCAAGAAAGCACAGATTTCAGTTTTGACATATTTAACTTAAGAATTATTGAGACATGTTAATGGAAATCTCCAGTAGGAATGGAAGGTATTATACTAAAGACAGATACTGTATTTTTGACTTCCTAATACCTATCTCTGTATCTCCTTTCAATTGGTATTTAGAATAATAATAGCTAACATTTTTAAGTGCTTACTTTGTGTCAGGCTTATGCCAGGCATTTTTGTATACATCAAGCATTTTTATCTACATGACCTTATTCAGTCCTCATAATAATCATATTTATATCATTTTCATATTTTTTACGGAGAAACTGAGATTTGAGGAGGTTGAATAGCTTGACCAAAGAATTACAGCTAGTAATTCATGAAATCAAGACTTGACTCCAGTTCATATGATTCCAATGCCCCTACTTTTAATCAATAGACTGTTTTTGAGATAAAAGTAGGTAAATACACAGAGTGATCAAACACAAAACATATCTTACAGAAATAGATTTAAGACTAATTTGTGTAAATGAATTCACTAGAAGAGTAAGACTAAAGGAATGAAAACACATACCTTAAGACAGAGTCTCAATAAAATAGATTTGAAATAAGGAAGGCAAAGTCAAAGATGATTAATGGAAGAAAACAAAAGGAAATATAAAAATATTGTTGTCATATCAGAGAAAACCAAAGTGCCATGGTCAGAGATCTTACCAGCAATGGGGTAAGCTCAGTGCAGACCAATACTCCTGCCAAGCACGATTACAAAATACAGACCGTCAAGCTATTTGTTTTAAGGTATCAGAAAGCTTACCAGATTAGCGAAGACGTCAAAAGACAAGATCCCAGAATAAAAGGAAGCCTCTAGATAAACTGAACATTCATGCCTTTGCTCCTGTGGCACTTCTACGTTTTCAAGCAGCAGCTGAGAAGCTATATAAAGCTTCTAGGAGTCTTAATATCACTTGGGGTAAAAAAAATGTATTTCAGGGTCACCAAGAAGAAAAAGCCTGAGCAAACAATCTACACTTTCAGCTGGGACCACAAAAGCCTATACTCTAGAAATTTACCATCCCTCATATAGAATAAAGCCCACCTCCAATGGACTTGATCTTAGATTTGGTTAGAGCAATCCTTCCAACACTAACTGCCTTCCAGTAGTAACAAGTGGAGGAAGATAACACTTCATAAATGTTCAGACACTGTGTCTAGGATTCAATAAAAAAAATTAGCCAGTAGTGAAGAGATAAGAATAAATGCCCAAAGTTCAAGATAAAAAGCAGAAAACAGAAATAAACTTATAAAAGATCCAGATATTACTTAGCAGACTCAGATATTAAAATATATCTCATTACCATAATTCAAAAATAAAAAGGCCAAAAGAAAGATTTCAGAAGAGAAATGGAAACAATAAAAATGAATCAAATGGGAACTACAGAATTGAAAAAATATAATTGAAATTACATCTTAATAGACAGATTTAAGAGCAGACTACATAAAACTAAAAAAAAATGTTTCTAAACTAAAATTTGTGTCAAAATAAAATATTCTAGCTGAATCAAAAAGATAGTGAAAATGCATTTTTAAAAGTGGAGTAGACTGTATGATGTGGTAAAAGGTACAGTACACATATAATTGGAATCCTAGGAGGAGAAAGAGAATAGGGCAAAAGTAATACTGAAAGAGATCATGGCTGACAACCTTCCAAATAGATGAAAATACACCAACTCACAGGTTGAAGAAACATTACAAATACTACTAATGAAAAAACAGCCATACTGAGGCACTTCAGGAAATTTCCAAGAAAAAAAGGAATAAGTGTAAAATAGTAGCTAACGTCTCAACAGAACTATATGAAAACAAAAGATAATGGGATGATATTTTCAAATTGCCAAGGAAAAGAAACAACGGGAAAATACCAACTTAGATGGATTTGTCTTATGGTAATCCTTCAAAAGAGAAAAAAAAATGAGATGCTTTCCAACCAAAATAGAGTGTGCATCACCCACACTGAAGGAAGTACCAGAAAGCCATTCTTTAGTCCAAAGTGAAATGATCCCTGATGGAAGCGGTGAAATCCTGGAAGAAATAAAGAACAAGGGAAAAGATAAATGTACAGGGAAAATCTAAGTGATTATTAACTGTACACAAGAATACCAATGATATCTTGTAGATGATTAAAATGTGTGACAACAAAAGCACAAAGGGCAGAAGGAAACAAGTGTTTTAAGTGTTCTACGACCCTTATGTTACTTGGGTAGTGACATAAATAATTCATTTTTAAAAAATACTTTTGTAACATTTTTATTTATTTTTAAGAGACAGAGAGAGACAGAGAGCAAGCTGGGGAGGGACAGAGAGAGCTGGAGATACAGAATCTGAAGCAGGCTCTAGGCTCTGAGCTGTCAGCACAGAGCCCAACACAGGGCTTTAACCCGTGAACTGTGAGATCATGACCTGAGCCGAACTCAGACGCTGACTAAGCCACCCAGATGCTCCGTGACAGAAATAATTTAAATTGGAATTTAATATGTTAAAGATATTTACAGTGATGTCTTACAGTAGCCAATGAAAGAATAATAATAAACTGTAATAATTGGTGCTTTGAAAGAATCCAATAAAGGAAAGAAAAGGGAGGGGCAAGTAGATGACAAATTAGAGAAAAGATTTAAGTCCAAACATAATAATTGCGCAAAATGTAAATATACTGAACGCTATAAATACCAAACATTTTAAACCACCAAATAATATTAAAGGAAAATGACCACAGGCATCTTAAAGGACATACTTTAACTATAAGGAAATAAAAATAAGGAAAATAAAATAATGGGAAAAATAAACAATGCAAAATGAATAGTTTAGTAATAGCTTTATTAGTATTGAAAAAAACAGAATGTCTGAATGTATTGCTAGAGATAAGACAGATTTTTTCATAATTATAAAATGGTCTATTAAAAAGAAGTTGAATGAAAGCAAAATATATGTGCATAATAAAATATTCCCAAAATATATATAAAGTTGACAAAAATAAAGTGAAAGAAAAATCAGTGATAGATGAATATTTTTAACACATCTTCTCTGTAACTAATACAATATGTAGATTAAAACAAACAAATAAAAAAACACAAAGGAATATAACAGAGGGGCACCTGGGTGGCTCAGTCAGTTAAGCAACCGACTCTTGATTCAGCTCAAGTCATGATCTCACAGTTCATGAATTTGAGCCCCATATCAGGCTCCACGATGACAGCACAGAACCTGCTTGGGATTCTTTCTCTCCCCATCTCTCTACCTGTCCTCCACTTAAGCTCACATGCTCTCCCTCAAAATAAATAAACTTAAAAAAAAAGAGAGAATATAATAGATATGAACCACATGATTAATGTACTTGATCTGTAAAAAACTCTGTATTCAAAGACTACAGTTTTTTCAGAGGAATACACAACATTTACCAAAATTAACAAGACACTGGGCCATAAGGCAAACCTTAACAAATTTCAGAGATTGGCATCACAGCATACATTCCCTGACTAGAGTAGAATAAAGCTAAAATTAATATCCAAAAGGCAGTTGAAAAACCCATGAATATGAGAAATAAACAATTTACTTATAAATACATGGATCAAAAAATAAATCAGAATGAAATAAAAACCATTTTGAATCAAATGGTGTGAAGCTATGATACGCCAAAACTTGTATGATGCAGCTACAGCTGTATAAAAGAAAAATCATAATCTTAAGAATAAATATTCAGAAAGAAAAGAGCTGAAAGCCAAGTTTTTAATTATTCATCTCAGAATTTAGAAAAGAAGAGAAAATTAAAGCCAAATAAGTTTTAAAAAACTTTTTAATGTTCATTTATTTTTGAAAGAGAAAGAGACAGAGCATGAATGCGGGAGGGACGAAAAGGGAGAGAGATACAGAATCCCAAGCAGGCTCGAGGTTCTGAGCTGTCAGCACAGAGCCCGACAAGGGGCTCAGACCCACAAACTGCTAGATCATGAGCTGAGCAGAGGTCAAACACTTAACCCAACTGAGTCACCCTGACACCCTAAAGCCAAATAGGTTTTAAAAAGGAAATCATATAGAGAAGGAAAAAAAAAAAAACAATAGAGTACAAACATAAAACCTAACATAGATAAAACCAAATATTTAGAATTATTTCCTAAATAAATTGAGTATCAATAGTACAGAGAAGTCACAAATTACTAATATAGAAGCAATAGAATCTCATAACTTCAAATCCTGTAGGTCTTAAAAGTTCAAAAGATATAAACAACATTATTGCAGTAAATTTGAAAATTTAGATAAAATGCACACATTTTTTGAATAACACAAATCACCAAATCTGACCAAAAGAAAGAATCTGAATAGTCCTTTATCTCCCAAAGAATTTGGTCCTGTAATTAGAAAACTTGCAAGAGAACACTGCACTCAGGTTTCCCTGTTGAATTTTTCCAACCATTTAAGGCAGAAATAACACGAATCTTACAAAAACCCTTCCAAGAAAATAGGAAATGTAAACTTAGAAACTCATTTTACAAGATTGTCATAACTTTGATACAAAACCTGACAAGGGCATTACAAGAAAAGAAAATCAGTTTCCTTCAAGAATTTAGATGTGTGTCTTAAAATTATTAGCCACTAAATCAAAACGAAGTTGGAATTGTTCTACAAATATATGGTTGGTTCAACATTGACCACTTAATCAATATAATTCACTACCTTCACAGAATAAGAGAGAAAAATTACATGACTAACTCAATAAATGCAGAGTGACTGATAAAAAAATCAATACTCATTTCTGACAATCTTAGTACATTGGGAACAGAAGAGAATTATCTTAATCTGTTAAGAGAATCTCTAAAAATCTACTACAAATACCACTTTTTGCAGTGAACTGCTGAAGGCTTTCTACCTGAGATCAGTGGTTGACGGTATCCACCATCACTATTCCTATCAATCACTGTACAGGAGGTTCTAGCCAGTTCTATGCGGTTCTAGTTGCAAGAGCAATCCCAGCACCACCCAGCAGTCTCTGATCCCTTTCTCTGCATATTGTTCTCTATATCAACTATCACCTTCAAAACATTGTGCATTTATGTATTTATCCTTCTACAATCTAAGCTTATTTATGGACTGTTCTTTCACATTTCTAACAGTGTTTGCCATGTGGCAAATCCTTAATACATCTTAGCCAGATTAATTAAATAAATGAATAAAGCTTAAAGATGATTACGTAGAAGAAGCCATTATAATACTGAAGTTGGTTTTTATTTTATTTTCATATTCTTGTTTGGTATTTCTCTCATTGGAGTCCACACTTAGACCTTTGGGGACCCACAGAGGCCACATTTCACAGCCTGGCTGGAATATTCCATGACTCTCAGAATGAGAACAATGAAGGGAGCATAATTCTGCTGTGAGAGTAGAGCATCTTAATGTTAGCTTCAATATTTTTTAGTACATTCATAAAATGTTTAATGAAAGTGTGATAAAAAAGAAGAGTGGTTTTATTAAAAGAAAAATAAAAAGTTCTGTGTTGTTTCAAGGGATCATCTTTTGGTTTGATACTCAAAATGAACTGAAGTGAGAGAACAAAAATATGCTTGAAAATAACGGATTCAGTGTGTTATTTATAATATATAATGGAACATGTTCCTGAGAAAGTAGGTTACTTCTTTATGCACATATAAATTTGAAATTAATACAATAAAAAGTTGAACATCTTTGGTTAAGGAGGACAGTAAGGTCAGATGTCAAACTCATAATAAAAACATTGCTATAGCCAGACCAGAAAGTGACTCTCTGATCTTTTTAGGTTTTTCAATAAGTTTTTCTGATGATTTTTTTCCTTCTTTCACCATTTTTATAGCCTCACTCTTAAAAGACTCATTTTCTTTCAAGAATAATCACTCCAGCAAGAGAGAAAATATCTGAGTTTCAACAATAGTTGGGTTTCTTAAAATTTCATCTTTAAAAAGAAGATAAATAAGACAGTGCTTTGGAGGAAAATGACTAATCTGGAGCTCTTTAACTATTTCTAGAGCATCTATAAGTAATTTTGGCATACCACCTTGCAAAATTTTGTTATGTCTTGAATTAATATTCACCTAAGAACAACTATATCTTTAAAAAGTATGTAAACGGGTCAGTTTCTAGCAGGCAATGTTCTTTAACCTCCCTCCATCTGGAGAAGAGAGTCTTTAATTACTATCAAGCAAGGAAAAACATTATCCAACTTCCAACATTCTATTACAAATTTCCTGTATGGTAAACTATCTTGAGAGATGATATCTGTATATCGAAGTCTCTTAAAAATGTCTGAGAGTACAAAATGACAAGGATAAAGTTTCAATCCA